GGTGGTAATCAGATGTTTTGCTCGGCGGCGGCGATGTCACAGGCTCGCCTTGGACGGTGGAAGTGGCGATTGCATCAGAAAAGGGTTGGCGAGATGTGTGTTGGTTTAGATCTTTTCGTTGCTTTTTGATCGGTGGCTAGGGCTGGTTGTGGGGATTAATTCATGGTATATGTGGGTTTGGTTGCGCACACAGTAAGAACGGCTCGATGGTGACTGGTCTACGACCGCTAGGGTTTGGCGGCGGCGCCGATGTCCCAGGCTCGTCTTGGATGGTGGAAGTGGGATTGCATCAGGGAAGGGTTTGCGAGATGTGTGTCGGCGTAGATCTTTTCGTTGTATTTTGAGCGGTGCCTAGTGCTAGTTGTGGGGATTGGGCTTAGTTGCGTACACGGCAAGAACGGCTCGACGGTGACTGTTCTACGACCGCTAGGGTTTGGCGGCGGCGGCTGCGTTGGACTGCTAGGGCTGGCCAATTTGTTGGCGGCTAGGGTTTGATAGTACGTCATAGTAAACCATAGTAAAGCATAGTATATTGTACATTGTAGTGCACTATAGCATCCCGTAGTATACCACAGTCTACTGCAGAAAAATTGAAAATATGTATATTGGATTAAAAAATTAGCATGTTTTGTTGTTGTAATTTTCAATATTATGTGAAAAATAAAGAAAAAAGATTTGTTTCATAATAGTGTATAAATATTAAAATGAAGAAATAAAAGAAAACGCCAATATGAAACTATTAAATGCAGAACAAATAAAATGATAAATGCAATTTGAATTTACTAAATGCAAATTTCTAATTTGTGAGTGGAAGGGTATTTTTGGAATGAATTTTATAAAGGATGTGAAGCAAATGTTTTATTGGACTTGTTATTTAGTTCTAATAAGTTTTGTCACCAGGGACCTATATCTTAAGGCCCCTTTTTAAATAAAGGTAACAAAGAAGAGTAGTAGTAGTATACATACAAAACACATGATTCATTTACATACAATCATACTTTTTTTTAACCTTTTGTCCGAGCTTCGCGCGACTAATTTTAAGAGTAGACGGTCTATCTTCTGGTTCGTCTCTCAGCTAAAAATTGAATGTGAGTACACTGTATACACGTTTATAAAAAAAACTTTCATGGTCAAAGGAATCACGACAACTTGTCTTTTCCAGGATAAATTATGTCTTTCGAGACGTTAAACTATTCAATTCAAACTCACAATGCTCTAGACTACAGTATGTGAAGTAAGCATTCATTAATCGATTATTTGTCGATACGTATTAAGTCGAACTAAAAGAAATATAATTTACAAACTATTACAAGTTTATCGTGTACAAAAGTTGTTAGTAAGAAAAAAAATGAATATTACTTTTATTTTTTTTAGGAAAATATGAATATACTATGAGGCGCATGCAAATACTTCATCATGATGTTTCTCTTTCTCTATGACCCACGCAAACTCCTTGCCTTTATAACCTCTTCAATCTACTCTTCATAATTACCTCCTTGCCCTTGTTCTTTCCACTATTTTTACCCTTTTGCCATTCATCATTCTTTACCTTATTTGCCCTTTTCTTCTTCACTTTTTTATTTGTATAATATTTTATATATTATAATGTGTTTAATATATTTTGAACCCCGTTACATATATAATTACCAAAATAGCCCCATCAACTATTATTAATTTTGCTATTTTTCGACTTATTAGTAGAGATATTTGACTTCGTAAATACTTAATCAGACCGAATAAGAAAAACTTAATCAATTTCAGTCTCGAGCTGTATTCTTCCACAAACTTATTAGAAACCTCATTTGTTCTTAGAAGAAAGAACACTACAGTACGTCATTCATTTTAAATTAGCTGTCGTTTTTATTATTATTTATTTTTCTAAAATCTCAATAATTCACATAAATTATTTAAAACACTAATTATTTGATCACAAACAAAGCAAACAATTAACGAAGCAAATATTAAATCGAAGAATATTTTAGTTATACATTATATATATTTCTAAGATTCTATAATTTTAAATAATATAAATATTACGCCCATTTACCTAGCTGGTACAAAAGTATGTCCCAAAATAAGTGACAAATAATTCAATTTTTACTATTTAAGAAATTCAAAAAATATATTTTTTAATTGTGAAATACGAAAAAAATTATAGTCCTGACAGGTGTCACATTCATCAAATATTCCAAATCCAGTGTCTGTGAGAACAGTGTACAGTATTAAAAAGAGTATCTAAAGCCACACATATATACATACACTATACATACACTGATACACAATTATAAAAATAAAATAAATAAAGTTGCCAGAGAAGAAAGCACACAGTAGCAAAGCTGAAAAAAAAAAACACATATCCAAAACCAAAAGAAATAAAGAAACAGTGAAAAGGCTCCATCAAGCAGCACTCTCCTTCCATTTTTATTTTATCAAAATCTCCTTTTTTTCAGTTTTTCATGTCATCAATCCAGATCCATTTCTCCATAGCTCTACTGAACCTGAAATCGTATGCATGTGGGAATCTACATTAATTGAAGAAAGAAGAAGAAGAAGAAGATTCTCGGAACCAGCTATGGGGTTTTGTGTGGGGTTTGCTTCTTCTGTTTGGATTCATCAGGCTCGATTCCTTGGATAAATCATTCTTTTTTCCTGGTATTTTTTTATTTTTTTTTAAATTCAGTTACTATGAAGGAAAATTTATGGGATTGGAGGCATGCCCGGTGGATGGAAGATATGATCTGAAAAAATAATTAGAGTAATTAAACTTTTTTTTTTAATCCCCCTTGTGTTTGGTGTTTGAATACTTTTAATAGCGCCGTTTGGTTTCAGCTGTCTGTTGTCTGCTAAATCAAGATTTCTTGCTTTTCGTGATCGATTAGCTGTATGGGGTTGTGCTTTTAAGGGGTTAGAGTCTGTGTTTTCTGTCAAAAGGGGGTGATTCTTGTTTTTGCACACAAAGTGTTTGAACTATTGTCTAGCTGAAATTTTGAGGGGAATTGTGACTGTGGGAGATGCCGATGTCTTGTAAGGATAGTCACATGGATAACGGCAAGTATGTGAGGTACACGCCCGAGCAGGTCGATGCCCTCGAGAGGCTGTACCACGATTGCCCTAAACCCAGCTCCGTTCGCCGTCAGCAGCTTATTCGTGAATGCCCCATTTTATCCAACATTGAGCCTAAGCAAATCAAAGTTTGGTTCCAAAACAGAAGGTAACCAACTCTTTCTTTTTTCACAAATTTATCATTTCTAGTGTTACTCCTACAATTTGATTGGAATGTGGATTGAGAAGTTCTTAGGCAGTAATGTGAATTGGAGTTCTTTGTTTGAATTTTTCGGTATTGAGTGATGGGGTTCCGGATTTAATTCATTTTTTGTTTTCCTCGGGAAAACAGATGCAGGGAGAAGCAAAGGAAGGAGGCTTCAAGGCTTCAAGGTGTAAATAGGAAGCTGACAGCCATGAATAAACTCTTGATGGAGGAAAACGATAGGCTGCAGAAACAAGTATCGCAACTTGTTTACGAAAACAGCTATTTTCGCCAGCATACTCCAAGTGTAATAATCTTGAAACTTCTATCAAGATTCTTGCTTTACAGTTTAAACTCATAATTTTGCATAATCTTTAGTGATTTAGAAAAGGGTTCTTCAATAATCTTGAAAATTCCCCTTAATCTCAATTTTACCATTCTAAATTCCAGCAAGATTCTTGCTTTTACAGTTGAACCCCATAATTTTGCATAATCTTGGAAAATACTCTTATCTCAATCTTACCATTCTCACTTCTAACAAGATTTTTGCTTTGCAATTGAACCCCATAATTTTTTAGTGATTTTGAAAAGGGTTCTTCAAGAAATTAACAGGAGTATATTTTTTGTATTATTTTTTAATTTTTTTATTTTTTTTTTGCAGAATGCACTTGCTACAAAAGATACAAGCTGTGAATCAGTGGTGACCGGTGGTCAACAAAACCACTTGACACCTCAGCATACTCCTAGAGATGCAAGTCCTGCAGGGTGAGTAGTAGTGGGGCTGTGGTTGTCAAGTCATTTTCCTGATTATAAAGATACAAGTATATATGTCTTTATCGTTCTCAGTGATCCAATTATTCTTGTGTTGCGTGTTTTTGCTTTTTTATTTTTTAATCTTTAATTTTTATTAATTTTTGTTATTTTGTATTTTTTCCAGGCTTTTGTCCATTGCAGAAGAAACTTTAACAGAGTTTCTTTCAAAGGCCACCGGAACCGCTGTTGAGTGGGTCCAAATGCCTGGAATGAAGGTACAGTGTTGTCTTGAATTCTGTATTTCACTATAATATAGTATTACTTCATTTTTTGGAATGATGTATAACCACCTTTTATTATTAGTATTATAATTATTATTATTATTATTATTTATTTATTTTATAGTATATACTTGCAGATATACTTTGATATTCGTGTACACATACACACATGGATTGTGCATTCTTAGGCCTATTTTGTCTGATGCACTGCAAAAACTACTAAAGTTTATCCAATTATCTATGACTATGTACATTTGTAATTTATTTTAATTATATATTTAATATTTCTTATCAAAAAAAAAAAAAATTATATAGTATATACACAATATACGCTTGACGAGCAAGTAGACTGTTTGCAAGAAAATGGCAATGTGTTTGTTTGCTGAAAATTTGAACTGGATGTTGGCCGTTTTAGTAATTGATTTTTTATTTTTTTTTGCGATTTTTGGAATAGCCTGGTCCGGATTCCATTGGAATCGTAGCTATTTCTCATGGTTGCACTGGAGTGGCAGCTAGAGCTTGTGGTCTGGTTGGTCTAGAGCCCACCAGAGTAAGTTCGCTATATTTGGGTTTTTTTTTTTTTTTTTTTTTTTTTTTTTTTTTTTTTTTTCTGATAAATGATTTTACTATTGAGTTTAAGTTCAATGATAGAATCGAATAAAATAAATTATATTTCAGGTTGCAGAAATCCTCAAAGATCGGCCTTCTTGGTTTCGAGATTGCCGAGCTGTGGAAGTTCTCAACGTGCTGCCTACTCCCAATGGTGGAACCACTGAACTTTTATATACGCAGGTATTTATTAATTTATTATCATAATTTACTTGTTTAATTGTTTATTGCCTTTTGTATGTATAAACACACACACACACACACACACACACACACACACACACACACACACACACTGATGGGCTTATGAATTTATAATTTCAGTTATATGCGCCGACAACTTTGGCGCCAGGTCGTGATTTTTGGCTGTTGCGGTATACTTCAGTCATGGATGATGGCAGTTTAGTGGTATGCGAACCTTCAAATTCATATTATTATTTTCCATGGGTTTAATCTTGATTCATACATAAAATTTTGGTTTAAACGAAATAAATTATTTTTAAGGTTTGTGAAAGATCGCTTAGCAATACTCAAAACGGTCCGAGCATGCCAGCTGTGCAAAACTTTGTGAGGGCAGAGATGTTGCCTAGTGGTTACCTAATTAGACCTTGTGACGGAGGAGGATCCATTATCCACATTGTCGATCACATGAATTTGGAGGTACTGATTTCTTGATATACGTCTAAAGGGACGAATGCATAAAATACTATGATTCTTTAATCTAGATTAGCAATTTTAATTTCTTATTATTATCTTCGTTTATTATAATAGGCATGGAATGTTCCTGAGGTGCTTCGTCCACTCTATGAATCATCAACGGTGCTCGCTCAAAAGGTCACCATGGCGGTGAGTATTTCCTGATAGTGTAGTGGTTTGATAACACTAATATATTTTAATTACTGCAGAAAAAAATACAAATAAATTAAATGCATACCAATTTCTTGGTATCCGAAAATACAGGCTCTGCGTCATCTTAAGCAAATAGCCCAGGACATTTCACAGTCGAGCAACGTAAGCAACTGGGGCAGAAGACCAGCCGCTCTACGAGCACTTAGCCATCGTTTGAGCAGGTTTGTTTATTTCCTATGTGGGGCCCGTTTTAAGTTCTGTGTGGGGTCCACTGGTCTATAACTAACTTTGGCATTAATTATTGCAGGGGATTTAACGAGGCTCTTAATGGATTCGGCGATGACGGGTGGTCGTTGATAGGGAATGATGGCATGGATGATGTCACCATTCTCGTCAACTCCAATCCCGAAAAATTGATGGGCTTAAATATCTCCTTCACAAATGGATATACCTCGATTTCCAATTCCGTCTTGTGTGCCAAAGCGTCTATGCTTTTGCAGGTTAGTTCACTTCATTATTCATGCTTTTTTATTAGTTTTTTTATTTTTAAATTTTATATTGTAGCTTTATTTATTATGTTTTTTTTTTCAGAATGTACCACCGGCGATATTACTCCGGTTTTTGAGGGAGCACAGGTCAGAATGGGCAGACAACTTTGATACTTACTCAGCAGCTGCAGTTAAAATTGGTCCCTCTAATTTCTTAGGAACTCGAGTTGCTAATTTCGGGGGTCAAGTTGTGCTTCCGTTGGCTCAGACGATTGAGCATGAAGAGGCAAGTGCATTATAAATTAAAATTGTATTTTTTTTTGTTTGTTAAAAAAATTAAATTAAAAACTAATTTTTATGTTGTCTAAATTTTGTTTAAATAGCTCCTGGAGGTTATTAAACTAGAAGGTGTTGGCCAATCTCCTGAAGATTCAATGATGCCTAGGGATTTGTTCCTTTTGCAGGTAAAATTTATTCCTCAATTTCTAAAAATATTATTGAATTTCTCGGTTTCTTTTGCAAAGAAAACAAAATAATCGAAGGTTAAAACAGAGCTTCATTCAACAATGGATTGAAAAATGGGATCAAGAAAACTTCATAATCAATGAATTTATCAAATTAAATTTGCCTTCTAAATATCCCCATCAATGGCAGCTATGTAGTGGAATGGATGAAAACGCAGTGGGTACATGTGGCGAACTCATATTCGCTCCCATCGATGCCTCGTTTGTCGAAGATGCTCCTCTCCTTCCTTCTGGTTTCCGCATCATTCCTCTCGACCCTGGCAAGGTTGGTCCTCTTGTATCTTTTTTTAAATATCCTTGCAAAATATTTAAATATACCCAATTTTTTTTTAATCTAGGACGCCTCGAGTCCAAATCGCACATTGGACCTTGCTTCTGCTCTCGAAACAGGCAATAAACCGTCGAGTGATCTCGCTGTAACAAACGGGAATTCGAGATCTGTAATGACAATTGCTTTTCAGTTTGCGTTCGAGAACCACATGCAAGAAAACGTTGCATGTGGGGCCCGGCAATATGTACGCAGTATTATATCATCTGTTCAAAGGGTGGCATTGGCTCTCTCTTCGACTAACTTGGGTCCTAATTCTGGTCTTCGGTCAATGCTTGGTGGTACTACTCCTGAAGCTCATACCCTCGCTCGTTGGATTTGCCAAAGTTACAGGTACCATCAACATAAATTGGTTGATTTTTCTTTACGTACTACCTCGTAAATTGGAACTGAATTTTCGAGTTCCAATGGATCCGAATTGGAAATATCCGAATTTGGAACATTTCTTTCTCATTCTGATTTTTTATTTTTCTTTTTCTAATATTTTTTGGATGAGAATCAGAATTATATATGATAGACTTCCAATCCAATCTTAACTTCCGAAAATTTAGATTTTTTTTCCCCCAAAGAAATGTATTTTTTAACTTAATATTCTATATTATATAGTACTCCCTTGTTCAGGTTCATTAATTTGTACCACTAATATATATTTCTTCAACGTTTGCGAAGCGTGGGGCTTTCCAATAAAAAATGAGGTTACTGTGTGTGTGTTTATGTTAAACGACACTAATTTTGAAAAGAACAAACTTTTCGAATTCCGCCAATAACAAAAATTTCTGTATTTGGGATAATTTTATTTAATTCAAATTTTTTATGATTTTTTATTTTCTCATCTTGGTAGGAACTATATGGGCGACGAGCTTCTCAAACCTAACGGTGAAGGGAGCGAATCCATTCTTAAAGCTTTATGGCATCACTCAGACGCCATTTTGTGCTGCTCCTTAAAGGTACACTTCACTTTGTCCGAGTATCTTTATCTTAGTTGTTTTACCTTATTCTATCTGGGAAGTTATATATATTTATTTGTTCGTTTTATTACAGGCAGTGCCTGTTTTTACGTTTGCAAACCAGGCTGGTCTAGACATGCTCGAAACAACCTTGGTCGCTCTTCAAGACATATCTTTGGAGAAGATATTCGATGATCATGGAAGGAAAAATCTCTGCTCCGAGTTTCCACAAATCATGAATCAGGTCAGTCGATTTTGTTCCTATTGTATGGAAATAAAATGAAATCGGACAGACCGGATCGGAATTAGCATTTTTGCAAAAAAAATAATTTTTTTTCGGAAGTGAAAAACTAATTCCAATTCCCTTCCGACTGAAAAAAAAATTGTTTGGTATAATTTTTTTCTTTTCGGAAGTGAAGAACTACTGCGTGTTACCTTCGTTGCGGTCGAGAGTTTCGCCTTTGATTAAAAATAAATAAAATGGCCCGTTTAAAACAAAAAACTAATTAGAAATTTCCTAAGTAATCAAACACGAGTGAAAAAAAAAATTGTTAAAAGGGGTTCTTACATTGTTGGCTGCTTCTTCGGACAGGGTTTTGCGACTCTTCAAGGTGGCATATGTTTGTCGAGCATGAGCAGACCCATCTCGTACGAGAGATCCGTGGCGTGGAAGGTTCTAGATGAAGATGCTAATCCCCATTGCTTCTGCTTCATGTTTGTCAACTGGTCTTTGGTTTGACTTTGTCTTCTTGTCCATAGCTTTATTAGAATCAGAAACGCATCCAAAGTTTTTTTTTCTTCTTTCCTTTCGATCGGTGTTTATTGCACAAAACCTCGTCTGTTTGATCTTTCTTTAGCTTTTGTTTCTTGAAACATGTTGTTTGTGGGCATTCTGTACCTCTGTTTTTTGTCTAAATTTGGATCTCTGTTTCAGTATGTTTTTCATTTCTGCAATTAATTCATTTACACTCGTCTTCATGAATGTGTATTTTATGTTTATTTAATAATCCCTTATTGAATTAAGCTCAAGAGGAATATAAGATAATTCTGATGAGCATCTATTCAAACCAAATAGTCAATCTAGTCAACCTAGCAACACCACTATAGAAGAATCAATCTCGTAATTCACTCACTCTATAGAAGAATCAATCTCGTAATTCAAGTCAAAAGAAACATTTTACGATCATTTTGTTTTAATATGTGACGTTCGGATGGTGTAAAACGGGTACAAACTGGATAATGTAACACATATGATTCCACTAAATTTGATACCGGAACGGTTGACGTGTAAGAAGATTCATGCTTGAGGAGTTATTGTCATTACCTAAACAAAATGAATTTTTTCGTAATCTGACTTTACCTCAGGGGGTGGCCGTATTTCACCCTATATTTTATTAATCAACCAAAAACATATTGAATTTATCAAAATTTTGTAGATGCTACAACCGATAGTATAAAAACGACCATACTACAAATATATGGTCAAACAAGTTGAATTTATCAAAAATTTTGTAGATGCTACAACCGATAGAATAAAAACGACGATTTAACGAGTATCATTTTCAAATTTTTATTTTTTTATTTTTCTACAAAAATCACAAAACCACAAATTCAAGAATTATTAACAATAATCCATGGAATTTTGCAGCCTCAAATCCTTGTAGAAGTTCATAATGAACACCTCAGCAGCTTCGTCCACGTGGCTATCTTCATCCACGTCGTCCTCCAATGGAAATGGGGAGTCCGTCACCCTCAGCTGCCTCACATTCGGGCTCGGCCCGAACCCCGGCAGAACCGGCGACGCCGCCGCCGCCAGGTCTTCTTCACTGGGCTGCGCCGATTTTGAGTTCCTGCGTTTTTTTGGGTAGCAGGCGTCGGGGCTGGAGCTACTGCAGCTGAACTCATAATCGTGGAAGCGGCGGCCGGAGATGGAAGGGGAGGCGGCGGCGGGGTGGTGGTGGAGGAGCATGAGATTTTTAATGGCTGCTTTTCCGGCGATCTTGCCACGCTTCATCATCGTGCCGAAATCGGCAAACAATTTAGCCTTGGATATTCCTTTTCTCAGCATGAAATAAATCACTCGAACCATCTTCCATATTTTCTTGGCCACGATCGGTAGATTTTTCTCCATTTCTGCGTTTTTTTTAGAGAGAGAAAATGGCCTTAGATATATTGGTGGTAGAGAGAGAAAGTGATTTGTGTTGATTTGATAAAAGTGAAGGCAAATTGGAGTGGTATTTAAAGGCCTTAAAAAGGAGGGAAGAGGGCTATGAAATGAATTGACTAAAATACCCTTATGCTGCATGGATAGTGGATAGATACTCTTGGTCCATTTTCTTTTTTCTTGTTTTTTTTTAATTCCCTCAATTGTTGATGAATAAGACTAAGTTGAATTGATGCCTTCGACTTATGCAACATTTGGTACGGTATGTATTGCACACCAAAAACATTTTACAATATATCTTATATATAAAAGAAAGAAACGCTGGCAACCCTAGAAAACCCTAATGGTATTTTTGTAATTATTTATTTTTAATATTTTTTTTGTGTTAATTTTCAACAATTATCAATTTCTTATTTTTCATCAATATATCACAAATCTTAATAGATAAAGAGAGAAATTCGATTTGTTAAATCTAAACCTATATATTTGAATTATAAATCATAATATGTAAAATTTAAAAAAAATAATGTTAAATTTTACTATGTTAATGTACTATATTTTCTTATTATGTATTAAATTGATTTTTTATTTTCACGATCGAAATAATATCCCGTGCATCGCACGGGAAAAAAATGCTAGTTTACATAAATATCAAATACATCTAATTATGCAGGTATGTGTTATTTGCAACGGTGCATGAGATGCTGCACACCTGATAAAATGGAGGCGTGTGCGTTATTACGTATTATATCATGGTATATTATCTACAAAACCTGATTACATCTAACATGTATACCATCTACACCGATTATAACATGTTTAAGATCGTTATTAGAACTATACATTAGAACTAGCCGATATACCAATGTTATCCTTAATCGGGATTTATTAGTCTTTAATTAACTATAATATTTGATCAATACCTCTTTCATAGAATTTTCAATTTTATCATAGTTATGATGGGGAGTTAGATGCATACATCTGGTTATTATTTTTAACGGATGGATTCTAACTATAGATCTGACACATTGGGTGTGTGTGCGATAGCCGATATGTATTGATCGACCGTTGAAATAAATAATCGGATGTAGTCGGTCTCTAATTAGTGGGTGTTAAATATATATATAAGTAAACCTCATTATATTTAACACCCACTAATTAGAGACCGACTACACCCGATTATATATATATATATATATATGAATTATAATATAATATATAATTCTTTCATTTTCGACCTGTCCCATCAAGGAAACAAGGTCAAATATATGTATAGCGTGAGTTTCACTTCACCTTATGAGATAATTAAAATTAAATTATGTTTCTCCTGCGATTGGGGTTTACTTACACGTGTCCCGTGGTCAACAAAAAAATAATTTAATCAGAAAAAAAAATAATTAAACATGCGATGAACAAAACCTAATGTCGGAAGGAAAACCACCTTGTATTTGAAAACATAATCTGGGAAGGGAAACCACGTTTTATTTGGCGTGTTCCAAATGAGAATCCTTCAAATTAAATTAAGTTTTTTTTCTTTTTTTCTTTTTTTTTTATACTAAAAAAATAAATCAAGTTGAAACGAAGCAAGATTCAACTTTCCTAGCAACGGCCCCTCATATATTTGTTTACATTAACAAGTATTTTTGGCATAAACTAAATAAGAAATTGAATTTATTTATTTATTTTTTATATTTTATAATAGATAAAATTTTATTAATTTATACACCAAAAGAAAAAAAAACAATACTCTGGCATTTTGAGATGCAAATTGATTAATGGGTATGGTTGCCAAATTGTTATTGGGCAGAGGAAGTGGATGCCAAAATTTTAAATATTTGGGGCGTAGCCGTCAAGTGACCAAATTTTGAGGGAGGTGAATGGAAATTATAAACTTTAGTTAATTTTAGTGCAATAAATATATTAGTTGCTAGTTTTTCAGTATAACCAACTAATGAATAATAAGTTAAGTATAAATAAAAAAAAGAAGTTAGTTTAAAATTGATTTTGGAATAAACCAATAAAAAAAAAGTTCAAAGAAAATAAAAGAAAAGAAAAAAAAAAAAAGGAAAGATCAAAGTATAATTGTGTTTCATGCTCTAGCACAAGTACAACTAATTAGTATTTAAGTACAACTAATTAGTATATGTGATTGATTGCTTTCCCAACTTTATTTAAATTTCATTCATAATAAAATTTTGGTTTGGCTTTTACATGCATGTACCCTAGAAAGCAGCATATGCATCATCTCTTGTGGATTTTGATACGTTGAAGGATTTTACGGTGGTGTTTGCAAAAGTTTTTAAAAGATAGACTATTAAGTACTTTCTTATGCTCGTTTTTATGTGTTTGTAAAATAAACTTTTGCTTTTGCATCATTTAAATAATTTTAAAATTAAAGCACGCATATACATGTTATTAATATTTTAGTTGATTTTTCAACTAATTTACAAATACCCAGCTTTTAAAAATTAAGCACTTAATCAATCAGCTTAATTCACAATCACTGACTTATGCTTCTAAATAACCTTTTGCAAACACCACTTACAGTAGAACCTTGATAAATTAATACCCGATAAATTAATAATCTCGCTTAAATAATAAGTTTTCTCGGTCCCGACTCGGGGACAACGTGCTAAATTAATAATTCGCTAAATTTATAAGATAATACACATTCGAAAATTTTAAGAAGCCCCATATAATATATAAATTAATAATGCATAAAAATAATTCTTAAATTACCTGGTACAAACGTACAGTACATATTTTATAGATCTATGAAAGCTTAATACACTATAATTTTATTGTCGCTTATTTCTTGTTGAAGTTCACATTATCATCAATCTCGTCCCTCACTTTTCTTAACATGGTTAGAACTTTTGCTCATAACTCAACATAAAATCGTATATACCATTGATGCTTTAAGAGCTTCCGCTCGTGAAACGGGCTCTATAGTGCATTGAAGTAATGGTACAATGAATAATATACACGTAAAAAAATAAAAAATAAAATGTATTTATTGAAAATAATAATAAAAATAATTTCATAAATTAATAAGTTATTAATTAATGTATAAAATAATAATTATTAATTTATCGATAAGTTAATATTTCGCTAAATTAATGAAATTGTAATGGTCCCAACTGTATTAATTTATAGAGGTTTAACTATATATGACAAAGATACAAAATACATCAGTTTATAGTTCGAAGAATTTGGTTCAATTATTACAAATTAATTACATATACATATTTAGAAAATATTTAAATACATTGCTCTTTACCAAATAGTAGTTGTATCAACACTTTTATTTATGTTGTCAATATTAAATCATCGAACTCTATATTAATTTTTCACTCTATGTAAACATCTTCCAAGATACAACAACTGAATCGAAATATGAAATATTATACTAAGAGTATCCGGATTGTTATTTCGAATATAAAGAAAGGAGAAAATTCGAATTGTTATTTCGAATCAGATTCACAAAATGAGACGTATGGGAATCTATTTCGTAGTTTTTAACGGTTATGATCGATTCACGCAACCCTTACGGAAATTAAACATTTCTCCCTTGAATAGGTGTCAAAACACTTCTACAAAAAATAGTTACGTTAATTATTTTAAATATTTATCATTCACATTAAATAATTTTATTTAAATAAAAATTTCGACATAAAATACACATGAAATGCTACTAATCAAGAGAAATTTTTCATGTGGTCTCAAGACTAATTAAACGTCTAAACCCTAATCCAATTGGTTGGAGTTATTACAACAATTTCCATTTGCAATACTAAATTACAACAATTTGGTCAAAAAGTATTTAATTTCCGGCTAACATGGCCCTAAGAATGGTCTAATTAACTCATTTATCTTATAAATTTTCAAATGCTTGAAAGCATAACTAATAAAAAAAAAATGATTCTGAAATATTCAGAGCACACATATATAAAATAATTTAACAAAGATTTTTTATGTCAATGGAGTGGGTGATCTGAACTTTAAACAGGCTGTTTTGCCATGTTTAACATATATAATAATTAAAGTCGTTAACAGCGGCTGTGTTAAGTAATAGTAATAAAGCAGCACTATTAGACTACAATTAATTAATTAAATGAAAACCATTTAATTTATATATCTAGCGAATGATATAGAGATCTCTTTTCTCAAAAAAAAAAAAAAAGGATATAGAGATCTCATTTGAGATTTTTTTTTCTTAATTAGTAATTTAATTAATTAATATTTTGTTAATGACATGTTTAGTAGTGAGATCAAACCTCCTTTGATAAGTAAACCTTTAGCAAGTCCGCCACCAAGTTATTGGCTCAATAATTAATAATTAAGCTTGTGTTTTTTAATTAAATATTAAACTTTAAGTTAAAATATAACTTTAGAAAATAAAAATATTTTCCTAAATACTTTTGGGGATTTATTAAATTTATAGTACTGATAAAGTTGGTATAAAGGTTCGTACTCTACCCAAAATGGACATATTTAATTATTTATGATGCCCATATTTCATTATCGTTCACCCTTAATAACTCCGAAATTCAAAAAATAAATTTAAAGCAAAAACAAGAAAAGTTGAGGAGTTCAATTTCCGTGCAAGTACGGTATGTTAATTAGTTGAGGGAAAACTACGTTTTTTTCCTAAAGTTTACCTCGATTTAACATTTGGTTCATATAATTAAAAATATATATAGTCCCTCATATTTCAATAATTTAATATTTCTTCATTAATTTTCCATTAATCCCGTCCATAAATTAAGACAGCGATGGGAGCACATGCTCGATTGCGTTAGTACTAATGAAAAATTAACTGATATGACCAAAAATGTTAAATAGGTAAAATATTAGGACTACTAAATCTATTTTAATAAATAAGGAGGACCAAATATGTAATGGAGGTAAACACGAGGGACAAAAAACATAATTTGTCATATTTCTTCCCTCTTCTCCCCTTGGCCTTTAAATACCACTCTCGTTTCTCATGCTTCATCCCATGAAAAACAATCTATAGCTTTCTTCTCAATAATCACACACTCTCTCTCTCTCTCTACAAATTAAACCTAAAAAATCATCAGAAAATACAAAAAAGAAACAAAAAAAAAATAAAAAAATTGGAGCAAAACCTACCATCCGAATTGTGTACTTGATGTTGAGAAAAGGAATCTCAAAGGGCAAACTACTCGTCGAATTCACCTTGTTCATGAAACGCGGCAAGATCGCCGGCAAAGCAGCCATTCAACACCTCATGTTCCACCACCACCCAGGGGCGAGTCCACCCAAGGGCTAGGGTGGACTCAAGCCCCGCCTCACTTCAAAATTTTTCCCTACTATATATATATATATATATATATATTCCTTTTTTTTTGTTTTTTTTTTGCCTACCTAATTATATTATTTTATCCACTTAGGGCTCGTTCGGTTTCCTATATTGGATTAGATTGGATTACATGAGATTAGATTAACTCCCTACTGACTAATTAATTAATTAGTTAGTAGCATGTTCGATTTCTTAGATTAGATTTTCTATTAAATTTGTTAAAATCGGTTATTATATATGAATTGTCTATAAAACCACTTAGTTTACAATAATAAAATATGATTTTAAGGATAAAACCGTCTTTTTCCTTTTTAGTCACCCCCTATTAAATTAATCTCAGGGGGAGGGGTGCTACTAATTTAATGAAATAGTAGCATCTAATAGCGGGCTTTGATTTTAGTAGCGGTTTCGAATAAGTGTGAATCTTGCCAACCGGACATGCTATTAGCCCCTACTATTTAGTCAGTAGAACCTTAGAGCGGTAACCGAACGAGCCCTTACTTTTACTCTAGTTAAGTCCACTTATTCAAAGTCGTCTCACTTCTCAAAGCCCCCTTCATGTCTAACTTGTTTCGTCTTCTATTTCCCAACTTAGTTCTCGTTATTTGAAAAAGAAAAAAAAACTTTGTTCTATTGCATAGGCGCATTAATGGCGGTTAAATTGCTACCCACCGGCGATCGAACGTACACTGGCGATCAATTAACGTTTGATGTCTTTTCTTTCATCTTAAGAATATTAATTATAAGTCAACTGTGTAAATTTCATAATCGACTTGATATTCATGTTTCTTAGATTTTTATAGTAATTTAACTTTCGCGATTCGTTTTGGTATTATCTTACGAAAATAGAGAGAAAAAAAATTCAAATCAAATTTTCATCTTAAATTTCTTTGATAGCAAATTTTTTTTCGGGGGCTCTGCCCCCGAACCCCCGATATGTTTAAGCCCCCCCTCACAATTTTTTCTGGCCTCACCACTGCCGCCGCCGCCGCCTCCACCCGCCGTGGCGGCTCCTTCCCCGCCCCACTAGAAAATATTGATATTCTATATATGGACAAAATGTCGTTAGAAAATATTTTAATTGGAAAATTCTCAATTTTTATCTGAGACAAAAACTCGATATTGAGGCCTGGATCATGATTGATACCAATAGGAATCAAAATACTAAAATTGGTATTAATAATTCTCACAAATTTTTTTTTTCATGGCTCGATAGATAATTTGATAAGCCAATGATTTTTTTTCCGTGTTTCAGAATACGGTTAACCAACATGTTAACTAATCGATTACGATAAATTGGATCGGATTTTGCTGTTTTTTCTTCTGCAGTACCTCGACGTGACATGAACGTGAAAGGGGTTTAAGAATCAGTTTTATTTTTATAAGGGCTAAAATCACTTATTTTGGCTTTTTTACCCCATATTATCGAAAGATATGAAAGATCTCCCCAAAGAGCGACTGCGGTACCAATCAAAAAGACGGTTGTCGCTACTGGACGGCGAAATGAATTTTGGAATTTATTAACATTCTCTTAAAAGGGTACTGTTAACAATCCCGCTTTGAACTAAAAGAAAACTTTGGGGTGGAATATTGACATTATGTCGAATATCTTCACTCTCAATAGTTATATAAAAATTTATAGAACATAGAAAGGCGGGATGTCCAACGTACTAGGGCATCCCATTACTAAGCCGGTTCGGGCTGATTTATCAGATTTTAATATTAGTGATCGATTTGGGCGTATATGCAGAAATCTTTTTCACTATTATAGCGGATCTTCAAAAAAAAAAGAGTTTGTAGTCATCCTCACCTTCCTCCGGCTCATCACCGGCAGTCTGTTCAGGGTTCCAAATTCAACGATGGCAACTAAACACGAGGGTGCGCTCGTTGCGGGACTTAACCCAACACCTTACGGATGAATTAATTTCAAGATATAAGGCTTTCCTATTATAACGGGTTGTTCAAAAGGATTCCCCGTTCTTCCATCAAATATTCTGAATTTTTTTTTTTTTTTTGTTAAAGGGGGTTCTTACATTGTTGGCTGCTTCTTCGGACAGGGTTTTGCGACTCTCCAAGGTGGCATATGTTTGTCGAGCATGAGCAGACCCGTTTCGTACGAGAGATCCGTGGCGTGGAAGGTTCTAGATGAAGATGGTAATCCACATTGCTTCTGCAGTTCTGCTTCATGTTTGTCAACTGGTCTTTTGTTTGAATTTTTCTTCTTGTTCATAGCTTCATTAGAAGCAGAGAAACGAAACCAAATGTTTTCTTCTTTTTATTATTTTCGATCCGTGTTTATTGCACAAAACCTCCGTTGTTTGATCTTTCTTTAGCTTTTGTTTCATGCATGAAACATGTTGTTTGTGGGCATTCCGTACCTCTGTTTTTCTAATTTTTGGATCTTTGTTTCAGGTTCTTCTTTCTTTCTTTTTTTCTTTCTCTTTTCATTTTGCAACTATGGGCAAATTACGGCCAACCCTGAGTTATGGTCAAATTACGAAAACCCCCCTCCTATTTGGGTAATTACAGCCACCCATCAACTATTTATTATCTTATGAAAAGACCCCTCCTGAGGTAAATTTAAGGATGTTAATTCGGTAAAACCGAACCGAAATTTCGGTACGCCAACATTTGATACCGTTTACCGAACTAAATATACGATTTGGTTCGGTAAATAACCGAATTACATAAATTTTATGTAAAAATATTTAAAAGGAGCGGGGTGACTGTAATTACCAAAATAAGAGGGGTCTTTTCGTAATTTGACCATACCTCAGGGGTTACCGTAATTTGCCCTTGCAACTATTTGTTTTTAATAATCTCCAATCAAATTAAGCTTAAGAGAAAGGTAACATGAATTACATTCAAATTTACCAGATGAATTACACATTGAGCTGATCTGCTATTCCGATTTTCGTATCGTTGATTAAAAACAGCGTCGACCCAACCGAGCCTTGCAATTCCCGAATTTTGGAATCAAAATCAATTTTATTGTTGGCAACTAACCCGATCGATCGGCTTATTAAAAAATGATTATATTTTTATCAATCGACCAAAAATATATTTAAAATTTTGAATTACCACGCACATAATATGTAATATTATGTTAAACAAGTTGATCATTGATCGAGCACTAGATCTTGATCAAAATCTTGTCGATGTTACATATTCAGAATATGTAGATCAATGATGTGCACCTGTATGGTGTATTTCATGATGTAGAAATCGAAACCAAAACCGAAACCAAAACCGAATATGTGATAGAATAAAAACCACGATTTAACGGAGTATCATTTACAAATATTTTATTTATTTATTTATTTTTCTAGTACATGAAAAACCGGATAATTACAAAATCACACCGAAAAATTCAAGAATTATCAACAATAACCCAAATAGTAGGCCTTGGAATTTTGCAGCCTCAAATCCTTGTAGAAATTCATAATGAACACTTCAGCAGCTTCGTCCACGTGGCAATCTTCATCAACGTCGTCCCTCAATGGAAATGGGGAGTCCGTCACCCTCAACTTCCTGACATTCGGGCTCGGCCCGAACCCCGGCAGAACCGGCGACGCCGCCGCCGCGCTGTTCACCATCTCTACCGCCGCCGCCATTAGGTCTTCTTCACTGGGCTGCGCCGATTTTGAGTGTCTGCGCTTTTTTGGGTAGTAGGCGGCGGGGCTGTTGCTACTGCAGCTGAACTCATAATCGTGGGAGCGGCGGCCGGAGGTGGAAGGGGAGGCGGCGGCGTGGTGGTGGTGGTGGTTAAGCATGAGATTTTTAATGGCTGATTTTCCGGCGATCTTGCCACGCTTCATCATCATGTTGAGATCGGCGAATAATTTACCCTTGGATATTTCTTTTCTCAGCATGTAATAAATTACTCGAACCATCTTCCATATTTTCTTGGCCACAATGGGTACATTTTGCTCCATTTTTCTGTAAAAAAATTAATTCTAGAGAGAGAAAAGGGTGTTCGGATTTGTAGAGAGAGAAATTGAAAGTTGGGAAGAAGATTTGTTTTTTGATTTGATTAAGTGGAAGCAGATTGGAGTGGTATTTAAAGGCCTCAAAAAAGAGGGAAGTGAGACCATGGAATTGTGATTTGACTAAAATACCCTTATGTTGCATGGAAACTTTTGGTTCGTTTTATTTATTTATTCACTCAATTATTGATGAACTAGACCTAATTGAATTGATGTGTTCAACTTTTGCAACATTAATTTGGTATGTAATGTACACCATTTCCTTTTGCTTTACAATATATTTATACAAATACAATAGTAACTTCGCTTAAACAATAATTTATTCAGGTCCCGACTCAGTGATAATGTGCTTAACTTTTAATTCGATAATTTAATATCTCGCTAAATTAATAGAATTTTGTTGGTACCGACTGTAATAATTTATAAAGATTTATCTGTAAGTGTAAATATGCAAGTATGTGGTTAGATTTATACCATCTATAGTAAATATTACGTTTTTAAGATTGTTAATAGAACTAGTCACAATTTAGAATCGACGTTCCATTTTTCAAATGGCGGTTTTAATGATGAAGAAATTCTCGATACTCCGTTACCTTGATCGGGATTCATTAGACATCTATTATAATTAATCGATCAATACCTCCTTGTTACAATTTTAAATTTTATTGAAGTCGTGATATTAGATGTGAAAATAAACATAAATCACAACTATACAATCAACAATTAATTTCCAAGATTAAGATTCAATAATACCAAAATTCAACAATAATGATCTCAATTAGTTGGTACTTATCTCCCACAATCATTGGTGTAATGCAAGTATGATTTAATTTTTTTAAACTTTTTTTTGAGAAATATTTTTTTAACTAATATATATAAATATAAATTAAATATATAATTCTTTCATTTTCGACCTGTCCCATCAAGGAAACAAGTGTCAAATATATATATAATGTAAGTTTCACTTCACCTTATAAAATAATTTTGAATTAAATTAGGTTTGTCCTACAATTGAGGTTTACTTAGCAAGAAAGGTAGCCAGGAAAACACGTGTCCTCTTTTCTCCAAGAAAATAATTTAATCTTTTTTAAAATAAAAAATAAAATAATTACCAAGCGAAGAACAAACCTACTGTCGGAAGGAAAGCACGTTGTATTTGGCGTGTTCCAAAGGAGAATCCTTCAAATTAAATTAAGCTGAAACGAAGCAAGATTCGACTTATATTTTTGGCATAAAATAAATCAGAAATTGAATTTATTTATTTATGTTTCTAATTTATAATATTTAAATTTTATTTATACAAAAATAGAAAAAAATCTCACATTTAGAGATGCAAATGTGTGGGTTGGTTGCCAAATTGTTATTGTCCGGAGGATGTCGATGGCAAAATTTTAAATATTTGGGGCGTATCTGCCAAATGACTGAATTTCGAGGGAGGTGGATGCAAATTACCCTTTAGTTAATTTTAGTGCAATGAATATATATTTTGCTAGGTTTCCAATATAGCCAACCAATGAATAATAAGTTAGTTGAAAATTTACACACAAAAGAAGTTGAGTTTAAAATTTAATCAATTTAAATTTGATTATTTGGAATAAAAAATTCAAAAATAAAGAAAAGAAAAGAAAGAAAGATCAAAGTATATATATATACATATATAATTGTGTTTCATGCTCAAGCAATTAGTGGGATACACTTTTTGTATATACAATTACAAGTACAAATTAGTATTTGGGGAACCTAATTAATCCCAACACTCCCAACTTTATTTAAATTAAAGGTAAGTGTACTAGCTTGGCGTACTTATTTAAATTTGATTCCTAATTAATTAACAAAATTATGGCTTGGCTTTTACATGCATGTACCCTAGAAAGCAACATATGTATTTCTTGTGGATTTTTGATACATTGAGTCAAAATAACAACTATTGACATATATGCAGTTTTATTTTATTATATATACTAGCAATTCTCCCCGTGTGATGCACGAGAATGCATAAATAAAGAAATTTTAAATATATGATAATTAAATTGTATTAACAAATAAATCCACATTGATTTCTGTAAAAGAGAGAGAGAAACAAAATTATGTAAAAAAAATGCTATCCGAACGTATTAGAATTCTGTTAGTGGATTTGCAAATAGATTTACTATGAAAGTTATTAGAGAAAAAAAGTCGGAAAATAGGAGATTCAAAAAAAAAATAGTAATTTTTTTAATTTTTTTTACAAATATATCATTAGGGTTTTTTAGATTAACCTAGCGTTTCTTACTTTTATATATCACATATGTGTATACACACAAAGATTATTTAAAAAAGAAAAAGTGGCTATAATTAGAAAAATATGGCTAAATTATTATATATTACATATATTTATAAGAAAACAATTAAAAGTATTCCCGGCTAACATGGCGCTAAGACTGGCCTAATTCACTCATTAATTTTCAAATGCTTGAAAGCATAATTAAAAAAAAAAGTATGATCCTAAAATATTCAAAGCATATATATATAAAAATAATTTAACAAAGATTTCATATATAATTAAATATAGATATGTTTTGGCTTTATGTCAATGGAGTGGGTCTGAACTTTAAACAGGCTTTTTTGCCATGTTTTAACATATAATTAAAGTCGTTAACAGCTGTGTTAAGTCGTTGTAATAAATTAAAGTAGCACTATTAGGTTACAATTAAACACCTAATTCTGTGTGTTTTTTGGCCTCAAAAGTGAAAACCATTTAATTTAATCTAGCAAATGGTATAGAGATCTCCTTTGAGATTATTTTTTTTCTTAATTATTCTTTAATTAATTAATATTTTGTTAATGACATGTGTTGTGAGAAACCTCCTTTGCTAAGTAAACCTTTAGCAAGTCCGCCACCAAGTTATTGACTCTAATTAATAAATAACCCTATAGTTATATGACTTGTTCATATATATATTTCTACTTATAATTATTGAATAATCAATTTTAAGTGGGACAATTTTAAATGACGAATTTGCCACATTTATTTCTCATTCTACATGAAGAATTGCGTTATTTGATTTCAATTCAAATCTATATAATATATAAAAGTTGAATTCCATGTCTAATTGATTGACATTTGTCAATTTCAAATGATGACATGTATTTAATTTCATCCTACGTGGAAAATTGATTGGTGAAAATAAATCATCAAAAAACATGTCATCATTTCCAAAATTAAAGGCATATAATATATTTTATTATTTTATTAATATATTTATACCCTACTATTTATAAAATCTCTAAATATATCAATTTTCTTGGAAACTATAAATTGATTTATTTTTGAATTAATTTTAATAGTAATTAATTTAATTTAAACTTAGTTAAATTAAATTTAAAGGCTTATCTTATTGTTGTTACATAATTTGGTGATGTTACGGAAATTTTATATTTTAATTAATAAATTTGGATTTATATTTAAAAAAATATGCAGAATAAATTATTTGATATTAATATATTATACATTTTACATGAACATAACCAGAGAATGTGTTTTTTTACTAATTTAATATTAAATATTAACATTATCTGTGTAAAAGGAAGATACATGTTCGAATTTACTATATTGCGAAAATTGACACTATTTTTTTTCCTGCCATGTGTGCAGTTGTATTATCCAATTATTTACCATATTGAAAATTATACTACATAAATTTCATGTTATTATTTTAACTTTTTTTTTTCCTTCACCGAATCTAGTGACAATAAATTTTATGATTGATTTATTTTTTTAATTATATACTAACTAAAATAAAAAAAAAATTATCAAGATTATACTAATAAATTGAAGAACATAAGTTATGTTTTAATCAATTGACAAAAAAAATATGTATTTTATATAGGGTAAATTACAAACACCCCCCTGAGGTATGGTCAAATTACAAAAACACCCCTCCTGTTTGGATAATTACAACCACCCCCTCAACTCCTCAAATTTAGTGGAATCTTCGAGATTATACGAAATATTATCACTTTTGTACCCGTTTTATCCCATTCAAACACTACATTATGAAGCAAGATGGTCATAATATGTGATTTTTAGCTTGTATATATCAGTTAGTCGTGCATCGGAAACTGTATTTTTACACAAAACGAGTTAAAACTAGAGCACATTCCACGTAATCTAGATGCTTATGTTGCAATTGGCACCATAAGGGTGGAGGTGTCAGTAAATATCATAGTTGAGGGGGGTAGATGTAATTATCCAAACAAGAGGGGGGTTTTTGTAATTTGACCATACCTCAGGGGGGTGTTTGTAATTTACCCTTTTATATATTTCAAAATATAATAATACTATTCTAAATCCTTGGTATTAAATTCTTTTATTCGCTTTATTTAATACCAAAAATTAAAAATATCAATTGTTTTGTTTAAAATGTATAATGATCGTATATACTATATAACGTATTCTACTAATAAGTATTTCTCTATAACTTTGATAGATATAATTAAGTACACATCTAGAGCAACTCCAACTCAAAAGTATCAAAATGACTTACAAATATTTATGTGATATTTAATATGCTCTAACCATAGGTATTAAATGGTTGTTAATTAAAAATAATTAAAATGATTTATATATCTAATTGCCACATGTCATAATCTAAATGGACACTGAGGTGGTTAAATTCATACCTCAGGTTTGATATTTTATTCCGCTTGAATTATTTTTAAATTCCGAAAGATGAAATATCAAAATACAACCCTCATTTCATAACTCTATATTGGAATTAAAATTACTATTTTCTTAGAATAACAATTGTGGTTAAAGGTTTTGATAGCCATTTAATAACCCAACTTGAGGTGTTGTTACTCTAAATAGTTTACATTAACAAATACAATATCAATCGGCAAATCAATAGTTTGTACGATCCATTTTAAGTTACAAACTCAATATGATATTTATATATTATATAAAAGATCACTACAGTTATATAAGAAGTAATTGCATAATTATGTGTATGTCTTTCCAAATCGAGAAAGTTTGATGCAATATTGTTGCTATGGATGAAAAAAGTTAAACAACTTTCAAGTATCATAGTATACCAATAAAAAAATATCTA